AGGAATTCTGCACAAATGAAACCATATTTAAACAATTCTAAAGCACTTTTTTTTCCTACTTCCATAATATCGATGTATAATTTTAGAGAGAATAATTATTTTAAGTATCAGTTATTAACTAGTGAACTTGTTTATTTGTCTTGTAATAATTGGCTTAGTGTGCCAAATTTGTGCTGTTATTTTGTGATTTGAGGAGAAGATAAGAATTTTTTAAAAAGATTTTATTTGACAGATGGAGATCACAAGTGGGCAGAGAAGCAGGCAGAGAGAGGGGGAAGCAGGCTCCCCGCTGAGCAGAGAACCTGATGATGTGGGGCTGGACCCCAGGACCCTGAGATCATGACCTGAGCTGAAGGCAGAGATTTAACCCACTGAGCCACCCAGGTGCCCTAGAAGATAAGAATTTTTAACTGCAATCATTAAAAATCTTAGGTAGAGAAAGTAAAGAATAGAAGTTAGAATAGCAGAGCAGGGATAGTAAGCTTCTTTGGCATTCCTTAGCTCAAAGAAAGTCTGCCTCCTATCTGATAGACTTTTTCTGTTCTTTTTTTCACTATAAGCTATGAAGGGGAATACATAAGTATTAGGATTGCCAAGATAATCCCTACAAATTTTAGTGTGGTCAAAATAATGAAATTTTAAAATGCCATATTCTGTGACCAGACAATAGTACTTTAAACAGTGCGCCCATAGCCAGATCTTAGCTTATGCACATTCATACCCAAAAACACCTTAATGAAATGTAATTCAACTAAGCAAAATCCTTACTAACCTGATTTTTACCCTTAAGAATAGATTAAATTTTCTACATCAATAAACATTAATAAAATGTTAAATATTGTGATTTGTTCAATTGTATGATATGTAATTTATTTATTAAATATCTATTTGTATTAGGCATGTCACTCATTTCTGTGTTTTTGCTATTTTATGCAAAGACACAATGAACTTGACCATCAAATCTTTGCACGTAGAAATCCCAGGAGGTTAGTGGGGCTGGGATTGTAGACTTGAATGTGAGTCATTCATTGGTGAATAATATTCTGTACCAGTAAGAAACACACAAAGGAAGCATTCAGTCAATGATTGAGATTTCCTAGGTGACTCAGAGTTCTTTTAGTGACTCTTGAAGAACAGAGCCCAATACAGGAACATGTGTACCTTCCCTGAGCTTCTTGAATTTCCCCTCTCTTTCCTTTCTACTAACCTGCAAGAAATATTATTGTAAAAGTGTTTGGTGATATTTCTTAAATTAAACCAGTGTGGCATCTCCCGACTTGTAGCATCCTGAACCTATATTTGTATGCATGGCCTTTTATGCTTGTGTAGAGTACAGAATTTCTGATGAAAGTTTTGCATGGTTAGAATTCATATCAGCAGCCCTGAGATAAAAGAACATGAAGCAGCCTTAGTAGTTACTGGTTCCCATCTTATTCCTTCTCAGGGCAGCCAGGGACCTAGAGCTAACTTGTTAGTGATAAATCAGATAAATAAATGTGACATTCAAACCGTTAACAAGACATAGCCAATAATAATAATGTTTACCATGGGAGAAAATGGAATGGGTAAGAGAGAGGTTTTTGGAAAACAAAAGTGCAAAGGCTTTGGAAAGTCTGAAGTAGTCTCATGATAACATATGTTGTCCCAGTTCAGTCAGGCAGGGCTTGACTGTATTTATAACACAAATTGGGTATATTTCCATGGGGATAACCCAGGAGCAACATTCCCAGAGGCAGTAAGAAAGCTTACCCCTCTTTCTCTCTTCAGATATGCAAACAATTATAGGTTTCTTGAAAGGATAATGGGAAAACCTTCACTTTCTCAGAGGAGAAATCATGTATTCTAAACTGTCTGTCTTCATCTGCTGTTCCCACCAAAAACAGCTTCCCCTCACAAAGACTCTGAGCTGACATGATCTGCATCCCCTTTGGCAGACATGCCAAGATTATGGGGTCTAGGCAGTTGCCTTACAAAATAACAATATTTTTTTTTCTGTTGTGAAGGAATCACATCTTTTTTTTTTACATCTTTTTTTTTAAATTTTTATTTATTTATTTGAGAGTGTATGAGAGCAAGAAATCACAGAGGGAGAAGGAGAAGCAGGTTCCCTGCTGAACAGGACCCTGAGATCATGACCCGAGCTGAAGGCAGATGCTTAAAGCACTGAGCCACCCAGGTACCCCAGGAATCACAACCTTAAAAGTAGCTAAACATTGATAGCTCTGCAGGTTAAAAGAATATGCAGCAGTAAATTTGAAGAATTGATAAGTACTTTTACTGAGTATCTACTATGTGTCATATATTATGCACCAACAATGCTTCTTATTTTATCTGCTCGAGCCTTACAACACTTCTCCAGTGAAGGCACTATCTTCTCCATTTTACAAAGCCAGGAACTCATTCAAAGAGATAGTCACTTGCCCTGGGCCAGTCTCTGCAGAACAAGGGCTCCTAGCCAGGAGGTCTGGTTCTGGCTTTCTCGGCTGGTGTTCTTCAGCAACATCTCAGCAAGTCTGTCGAGTCCTTGCTGTCACCTGCACCTCTTATTTCGTAACACTTCATGGATCCTTGTTTTCCTGCATTTCAATTTCTTCAGATTCTTTCCTTACATCTACCTTGATATTTCAGACATTGTTGTACTTGCATCAGTCATTACGATGATAAATTATAGTTTGATTTGCTTGATCAGTTTGCTTCATACCATAATAACCATGTTCCAATTCTTAGTCCATATGCCACCTCCCACCCCAAACTCCCATTAGACTGATAAACTGCACAGGTTTTCCACTTAAAACTTAACATCTTTGAGTCAAATTAATTAGGAAATAGTTCCATAAGCCACCGTAATTTAAGCATTGTACCACTCTAATTTACACTGTCCTATTGCAAAGGACTATACCACTGCAAATAGATTTCTGTCTTTGCTTATTCTCACTTACAAAGTGGCAAAAGAAGATCATAGCATAATATATGTGAGATGGAATTTAATTGGTTGTATTTGAAACAGTTTTCAAAAGAGTGTTTTTCTTCTCAGCGAAATCATAGTGCCAGGCTGTGTACCAGTGGGTGCTTAATAAATGCTCGTTCTAATGGCTGTTGTGTGAGAACTGCTGGGTTCAAGTGTTACTGGGGCTGCAGATTCACATTTCTCAGGGGGAAAAATACAAAGTAATTAAAACAATATTAATTATGCTTAGAAGAATATCATGCATGGAGATTTTCCTTTTTTCTTCTGTCTGTGGAACGTATACTTTATAATGGCTTATGGACCTCTGGAAATGCTTTAGAAAGACTGAAGAATAATCTGTCCCAATATCGCTTATATTTGACTACTTTTTTACTCACCTGAGGTATTCCTCCAGAGGTAATACCAAAGATGCTGTAATCACTGAAACTACAGACTTTTTAATAGGCCACTCACTTTAAAAGCTATGTTTTGACTGTACTGTATAATGGGCAGCCTGGTCATCGACCTTAATGCTGTGTTTATCACCAAAGGATACTGATGAAACAAGGGCATATTGAAACATAAACAAAAAAATACTTACATTACTGGTTTTCTCTAAAGGGTTAAATTCACACAAGAGAGGAAACACTATAGTAAATGGTAGCATTTTCCTTCCTATCCAAGATATTAATATTCAAGTCTGGCTTGCATATTGTGGAGCACTCACCTAGGCACGTTTTAAAATACATTGAGGGGTGAATGAGATAGTTGTGCTTGAAGGTGAAATGTGCTACAATAGACTCAATTAGCACCGTTTATGATTATAGTTTATGTGATGTCGGCATCAGTTCATTAAAAATGTACTGAACTATCAAATCGTTTCATACAGGTCATTGAACAGCAATAAAGTGGTATCCGCTCTTCTCCATTAGGACTCTGAGCTGGATTTGAACCAGTGACTCATAGGAAATACCCTATGTCTTATTGTTGTCTATAAAAATGCATTTATAGAGTGGCAGTATATCTATCTATAGCATTTTGTGTCTAATTGCATTCTTTTTTCTTTGGAATGGATACAGTCTATAAATTGCCTCTCCACAAAACACACAAATGTTAGATATTATGAAGTGATTATACATTACGCTTTTGTATTTTATATACTTTATTATTTATGCATTCATAATTTTGTTAAACATGAGTAAAAGTGGTCACATGTGACAGGATATTGAAAGGTCTTCTGACTGTTAAAGCAGAATGAAGATTAGGTGCAGCCAGACATACAGCGCAAATTTACTACTCTCCTATAATTCCATAAGTCATAAATCTCCACCCCACACAGCTGTAAATATTCTCCTATCTCATGGATTACATCAGCTAAAAGAACATTTACCAAGAGTACTAAGCAGCAATCTGTGCTGAAATGCACACTTTTATTTTATTAAAACACTAAAATTTATTGAAGTACCCATGCACATATTTTAGGTTACTTCCGATAGTGACATTGTAGAAACAGATGTCAAAATAATACTGTAAGCATCTTTCTACTGGGATGTTCTATAACCAGTGAGTGGTAGTAATATCTGAGCCAATGGGCAATAATGACTTCTTTGCAAAAACTACCTTAAAATCATTAAATAAAGAAAATGCCTGTTTCATTCAAAAGAAACTGAATGTCACATTGTCTATGTATTTATTCAGATCTTTGGAACAAATATTTGCATATTTCTGCTTATTTCAAGTTTTTTTTTTTTTTAACGTTGACAACTGGTATATTCCTTTTTTGCTTTTCTTCCTGTAATTTTTAGCGGCTCACCATTAGTGCCTTTTTTGTCCTTCAATTAAACAAGACCGTAATTCCTTCTTGTATTTTGCAAGTTAGACATGATACGGTAAATAGCAAGTGCTAAATTTCGTTCCTAGCTTTGTTCCAAGTTTTATCTGTTTTGCTTTTACATTGTATCATGTGTTGAAAGTTGTTTTGATTTTGTGTTCCGCCGCGCCCCTTTTCTCCGGGAGGAGTGTTAATCCGCGTGTCCTGTGGTCTTCTTTGTAGTCGCAGCGCCGGGTTACGTTTCACCTCCCCGATGGCTCCCAGGAAAGCTGCAGTGACAGTGGTCTAGGAGACCACGAGCCAGTGGGTAGTGGCACCCTGATCTCACACCCTCTTCCTCTGGTTCAGCCACAGGACGAATTCTACGACCAGGCCTCTCCGGACAAGAGGACCGAAGCAGATGGCAACTCTGACCCCAACTCTGGTGAGTCCCCTTAAAAACTGTGATCGCTTGGAGTTCTGGCTTTTTGTTGTGTGCACTTGAGTTCTAACAGTGATTTGGGGAAGCAAATAAATGGACATTCGGTTGGTTTTGCTAGCTTTCTTGTTGTATTCAAAATATATCAAGTCTACTGTGTTGTTCGGTGGAATGATGTTTTCCAGTGAAGACTTAAAAAAAAAAAAAAAGATAAAATAGTTGATTAAAACAAGTGTGAAGAGGGATGATAGTGATTTGGGGGTTTTACTTTTTTTGTCTTTTTAAATTTTGTCTGTTTAAATTTTGGATATGTTTTAACCAATGCATTGAATGAGTGGGATGAGTGAGATGGAATTAGCCAAGATCTTAATTCCGCACACCTTAGAAATCATTGCCCATTCAGAGTAAGCCCTGTGAGGGTGCTTTTTTCTTTGCCTTTGGAGGAAAATTTGGGCAAGTACTCTACCTTTTCTGGTGATTCTGTTATATATATATATATATATAAAATAACTGACTAGTTCACTTTTATTAAAATGCTCAAAGTCTAATTTAATAATAATGTCCAGTCCACAGTAATGACCAGGATTTCTACTTGATTTGAATTAAAACTGTTTTCTAACTCATTTTGAACCTTCATCACACTGCTCGCCTCCAGGGAGAAATGTGGACAGGATGAGTTTTCCCCAATTTTCTAAACTACTTCTCTTCTACTGCTGTAGACATACATGTGCTTCTGGCAATTCTGTGGTTGAAGTAGAATTCCAAGAGGAGGTAAAAAGCTTGTCCTGTTGTGAGAATCCAGAATTGGTGTTCTCTGATTTCTAGGATTTTAGAATTTGAATTTTAGAATTTGCCTCTCTTTGTATCCAGGTCTGTGGTCCGGGATATTACATATTACATATTACATATTACCCCTTCCTCTCCCTGAAGCTGGCATCCATTTCTGCCTGTTTCTCTGACAAATGTCTCTCTTCTCATTGGCAGGTATAGCTACATCTGCATCTTCTTTCTGCTGAGGTTTCTCCCTACTTCAGCTAGTCTTTTAGGAAGAGCTAAGTAAATTGCACACCAGCTCTGATTCTTGATCTTTCTTTCACGTTCTGTATCTTCGGGTCATAAGAGATATATAAGTGCATCTTTTTACTTCACATATCCAGAAGGGCAGGCCACATGCAAAGAGGGGAGTTCTCATTACACAACATTTGGGGGAGCTGGCCAACTGTCCTCCTTAGATCTTGGTTTTGATTAAACATCATTGAATCTAGGTGGTTCTACTGAATCATCCTTTCCTGGACTTGTGTGAAGAGGTCAGATACGTAAGATAGCTTTTTCTAAACTGATTTCCTGGTTTTCAGCTTCCCTCTCTCCAATTTTAAAACATCTCTTTCGTCATTAAGCTGAGGGTACCAAACTGGTTCTTGGCTTCCTCTTCTGCATATGGGAATGGTTGGTTTCTCTTGTCTTTGGGCTTCAGCTAAAACCAAGACAGAAAGACTCCCATTTTAAGAAAATAGTTTTAGGTCGTGTCTCTACAGTTCTCCAAAGGTGTTTTTTTGTTTGTTTGTTTTTTTACAGAAGTAAAAGGAAAGAAGGGGGAAAAAGTATACATAAGTATGGTTAACATAAATTACCTTAAGCCAGAACTTCACCCAAAATATATAGCTATTCCTCCAATGCCTTCTTAGACCAGGGAAGTAGCTGAGTGAGCTGCCTAATGGGAGAAGTTAGAAGAGATTCTAAAACAAACAAACAAACAAACAAACAAAGGGCCTTTTCAGAATAGCTTGGAGAGGTCCCTGGGGTTGTTACCAATCTAGTCACAAGGAAAAAGAGACCCAAGGGATGACACACCCTTGCACACTCCAACATTCAACCCAACACAGTGACTTCATCCAGGAGAATTATGGTCAATAAAATGTGTTAAACTGCTTCTTGGTGGAGACAACATCCTTATTCATCATTAAGAAAGAAGGAAAATCGGGAGATAAGGAAAAGAGGCACTGTGAGGGGCCCTGGAGGCCAACTATACTTTCCACATTTAATGGGACTTAAAATTTTAACCTCCTCTGTAAATGTCTAGAACAGAATTAATTAGAATAGCCTAGAAATATTAAGAGATTCATAACCAAATGGTAATTCATATTAGAATAGTATTATGATATATTATCTTAAAATTCCACAGTCGCATTTTTGTAATTAACTTTGAGGAATTTGTGAAGTGAGATATAGCATAATTGAAGCAGTAATCTTCAATAGTAATAATCTTGCTATTCAGATTTAGATTGTATCCTTTGTCTTCATTGGGGTTTTCTGTCTGTGGTGTGGTAATTCTTGAGAAGCCAAGATTTTAAAGTAACCATGCTATCTCCATAGAAATCATGAATGTCAGTATTAATCCGTACAGTTATTAAGTATTCAATTTGTATGGATTCCTATTTTTATAGGAATATTTTTAAAATATTATGCTTCTCAATAAAAAAAAAAAAAACTTTGAAGATAAGTAGTAATTCCATAGTAACTCTTTTCATTATACTTTTTTTTAAAAAGATTATTTATTTATTTATTTGACAGACAGAGATCACAAGTAGGCAGAGAGGCAGGCAGAGAGAGAGGAGGAAGCAGGCTCCCCGCTGAGCAGAGAGCCCGATGTGGGGCTCAATCCCAGGACCATGGGATCATGACCTGAGCCAAAGGCAGAGGCTTTAACCCACTGAACCACCCAGACACCCCTTTTCATTATACTTTTTAAAGAAAAACTAATAAAAGAAGTATCTTCTGGAGGAGTTTTGGGAAATATTAGGCTTTAGTATAGGATCTTGCTTCTGTGCGCACACACACACACACACACACACACACACACACACACAGTGGCATTTAGCTACAATATTCTTTACTTCTAAGTTTATACTTCTAGGTTGTTGACATCATAAGTTTTATATTCTATCAAACACATGAATTTTGAAAAAAAAATTAGGAAAGTATGAAGGTTTTTACATGCAATCCCAAAAATAAAGTTTGGAAGTTATGTTATAATTGATGGTTTTTGTAAATAATACCATGTAAAATCTACAGTAATCTTTATTGTGTCAGATGTGACTCATGCCAATAATTTAGATGTGCTGGACATACAACGTTTTTTTTTTCTTTCATTTAGAAAAAGACTTGAATCCCCATTTTACTAGTGTGATGGAAACTTCACTTTTCTCCCCCCTCAATTTCACATGGTCTATGTCATGCCAAAAAGAATTGAAACATTCTGGTCCCTTGGTCATCTGCACACTTACATGTCCACAGAGATGCCCCTTGTTTCATTGGGTCCTCACGTGTCTCAGATGATATTGCCTTCATCCCAGCCCTCCTGGCCCCTTCATAACTACTCCTAATGCCTTCAGACCACTGGTGGGCAAAGGAGTTTGTGCATGGCTATGGTGCCTAGATGCTTGGTGAGTTTATCACTCCAGGATCTTCCTGCTTCCCTGGACTCTGCTGTGGAATCTAGCTTCAGGACTCTGTAATCCCAAGCCGCTGGATTTCTCTGAGTTCTGCCCAACAAGCACGATGTAGTCTCTACCTCTGTTTCTTTCTTTCATCCCTTTCCTTTCCAGCAGAGCTGCATAAATGCTTTTAATATCTGGAGTTGGAGATCCTCACAGCATCTCTTGATAGTTTTCCACAAAGACATAATCCCTCCAACTTTTTTTTTCTCTAGTACCAACTGAAAAAAATAATCTGTGTAGTAGGTTCAGAATTTTGAAAAATAACAGAATGCCTTTTAACCATTCTCTATCTCGTCTCATCCTCATATATGCAATGATTATAAAGCCAGTACCTGTTTGAAAAGGCTGGGGTAGGTAAAGGGATATATACAAGTAGAAATATATATATATATATATATATATATATATATATATATATAAACACTTCAAAATTATTTTCATAAATAATTATATAAAATTATATTTGTATTTATTGCTAAAATAAAATAATCAGAGCATGCTATTAAATTATACAGTGAGTAGATATAAAAGTGATAAACAAAAGAAATTATTCCTTTTTAATGAAGTAGTTTTAAAAATCCTATGATGAAGAACTTCAGCCCATTAGTCATTGATTACTACATGAAATCGAGTTCACACAGGAAATCCAAGACACACACTTGCTTGGTATATTAATTTATAAAATGAACTGGTGCCCTAGAAACTTCCAGTGGTGACCAGGGAGTTTGTTTCTTTATTCAGTATCATAAAAAATTTTTAAGAAAATTGTGGATATATGAGTATGTGTTGCATTTTAAATGATATTAATAATTACTTATTTTGTTAGATGTGATAATGGTATTATAGCTTTATTAAGAGAAAATCCTTTATTGGTAGTGATGGATTGTGAAGAATTTATAGAAGAAACAAAATAATGTCTGGATTTTGTTTTAATGATACCCGAACAAAATACTACTAATGATGATGATAGTGATAGTAATGATGGGAGTAAATTAAACAATGAAATGTTAATGGTTGTTGAGGTTGGATAATGGATGTATAGAGTCTTATTATACTGTTGTTTCCTAATTTTATACTGTTTTAAAATTCTCAAAATGCAAAGTTTATTTTAAGTATATAGTGGGAGACTGATATAAAACTCAGAATCAATATATGAAATATCCAGGTTCTTCCTTTTTCTATTAATTGTTTTGAACCAAAGATACGGTTTATTGTACGGAAGTATAGCCAGATGGTTGTGTATACATTGAAGTGTATTTCAAATGGTGAAATTGCAATTAAACAGAGATTTTTCAGTAATTACATTTGTATTTGGAAGACTAGAATATAAATTGGTATTTTCCTCCATTAAAGATCTTTCGAGTAAAATAGAGTCTTTGAAAAGTCCTTTTTGGAATTTAGCAATAAAATCATTAAGCAGAAACTTCAGCCCTTCTCTGTATGACACCAGGGGGAATTTAAGGACAGGGCATGAGGAGTAGCCTTCGGCAACCAAATAGATAGTGTCTC